CAAAATAAAAAAAAAAAAAAGTCGGGTCGAAACAGAAAATATTTTTTCCCTTAACTTTTTCCAAAAAAAATGAATATTTCATTTTTTCTTATAAACTTTTAAATGTTTTAATATTCATTTTTATTTATTCATTTTTAATTAAATATTTTTATTTTTTACTTTACTTTTAGGGGCTTTGGGGGTAATATTGGGGGTGTAAACAGACCCCTGATATTTCCCTTTTAAAATAGAAAAAGAGATTGAGGACACAGAGTCCTCTCTTTTTCTGCAGCCCCTGTTATCAATGAACAGGAATCCTCTATACTGAGTGTTCGTGTTCATTCATAACATGAGGACATGGTATGTGTACTATTACCACAATCATGAATGAACAGGAAGTGATGAGGATGTGATGTAGATCACTTCCCATTCATTCATAATTGAGGATATAATAACCATACTCTGTCCTCAATTATCTACAAACACTCAGCGATCACTGACGGCTTGTACCCGCTCTCCTCTCTGACACGCTGTCACAGGAGGCTGAGCGAGGGCCGGCCAGGCTCCTGTGACTGTCTCCGCCCACACACCTTTCCCCCGATCTGTGATAGGAGGCTGAGCAGTGCGTGGAGGAGAGACGACGGCTGTTAACAGCGCTCGGCCGACTGTAACAGTTTCTCTCCTCCCCGCTTGGACACAGAGTGGCGCCCAGCGGGGAGGAGAGAAAGAACAGGTGCACCGCTGTATCGGCCAGAAAACAGCACTTTCGCCATTATGCCAAAAGTGCCCCTTTTGACCAATATTTTTCGGCGGCCGATATATTGGTTCATCCCTAGTAAAAATTCTTCCCATGCACGGCTGTATTCAACACAGTTCACAGTAAATCATTTCCAGGATCTTGGCTAGCTTTCTCTCATCTTATCCTCTTACCTTTTAGAAAGCTCTCACGCTACCCTTGTTCCTGAGCAGAGTGGTCATTTTACAAAAGCCAATGATCCAACATGCTGGTCCTGGCTGGAATTGTGTCAAAATGCAGTTTTGTTACAAATCTCTTTATGTTTGCGCACATCAATCAGCCCTGAAGAAGGGGATGCGGAACCCCGAAAGGTGTTGGGTTACAATTAGATCTTCATTAAAATATCCTCCTTGATTAAAGAGACGAATGTTTCTTCCAATCAGTCATTCACTTTGGCTTTGCACCTATAGTGCCAGTGGTCATTATTCTACATTCCTTATCTTGATTGGCTGAGCCTCTGCTGGTCTTTGCAATCCAAAAATTAGCTCTTTGGACTGTTACTTAGTGTCTGTCCAGTCTGATTTGGATCCCTGTCCACTCAGGCAGAGACAGGCCTTGACACAACCCAGTTCTATGATGCCTCTCCCTTTACTGGACCAGTACAGCTGTCCTCAATCAGACTCCTCCACGGAAGGACCCGGTAGAAGCTATTGGCGCCCCCTTTCCTGACAAAACCAGCTATCCCAGTATCACAGAGTCACGGCATCTACACTGTGATATCTGTAAAAATAAATGAAGGCAACTGGACTCGCTGTATTTTTCTTGAAGACGGTTCATTGGTCATCCGACCAGCTTTCTCAATTCAGAATGACTTGTACAAAACATTCTCTGGGAATAAATATGGTGAATGTCGCTCCAATCCACATAATCTGTTAGTCACAACCAGGTGTTGATGGCATTTGCATAATTAGAGTCTAGGAGGTGTTATTAACCTGCCCGGAGAGAGGTGTTAAAACAGCATTGTATGTGGCAGACAATCGATGTCTCACCCCCCCACACCTCTATTCAAGCTCAGCTTCTCCATTTGTACATAAATGGCGTCTTTCACACCTCTCTTAAACCAGTCCTCCTCCCTGTCTAGGATGCGCACTTGAAAAACACAAAAGGGCGCAATGACCTAGGTGGTACACACACACTGGAGACTAACTTTCTCTGCAAAAATACCAGGACAATTAGCACTTACGTGTGAGTCCGGGGACCAGAGAGAAGGCAGCCTTTGGAGAGGATCGAGGTGACCAAGGTGTGTGTACCTTCACACTGTTGGTCCACTATCAGGAGGTGCCCAACCAGGATGCAGAGTGCGGGGCTATGAACGGAGGGAGATGGAAGATGCCGGAGCTCCGTCCCTGCCACTGCTATGTAAACTGGGGAATCAATGCGGTATGGGAAGGACTCGGCGGCGTTCGGTCCGACTGAGCAACTGTGGGTGGCGGTGCTCAGTACATGGTGAAGTCCTCTGCACGCCGGTCCGGGTGGAGCGGCGTGCAGGTCGTCTGACGGCGGCGGTGGAGGTGTGCTGCCAGGGCGGCAGGCGGTCACGTCAATGATGGTGGTGGGATCGGGGATCACGAGGGAGCAACGCGTTTCGAGGAATACCTCTTTGTCAAGCTCAAACAGAGAAAGTGCTAATTTTCCTGCCATTTTTGCAGAGACAGTTAGGCCCTGTTCACACGACGCTGACCTGATCCGTACGCTCCCGCACTAAAAATGCATCCCAATGTCTCCCTTATGTGTTTTATGGGCTACAGTTCTCACGTGCGCAGTCCGTTCAGGTTACGACAGAAAAAATACTGCGTGTCACATTTTGTACGGTCAGGAAACGATCCGGAAACGTGTCAAAAACGCACTGCGCTGCAGCTAACATACTGACAGCCCCACTTCAGCAAAAAATGCATCAAAAACGCGGCAAAACACATAGCACCGCGTCTGCTGATCCGCACCTGATCCGGACCTGATCAGAACCTGAAACTCATGTGAACAGGCCCTTAGTCTCCAGTGAGTGATTGCATACCAATAGTTGTAGTAATTGCAGGCTCCTCCTCCTGTTTCTTAGGGCTGCATACCACCTAGTTAGAGTCCCCATCCGGGAGCGCTGTTTGTTGTTTTGTTTTTTAGGATGCGCACTTGACTGTCTTCAAAGGAGTGACCTTTTTTTTTTTTTTACAGATATACCATGAATGAGAACCTTCACAGACTGTCATAGTGCTCGTACATACATAGTGCTCGTACATACATAGTGCTCGTACATACATAGTGCTCGTACATACACACTATGTTCATATCTCGTTCTTCAGCCTTTTCAAAATGGACATGTGAACTATACACTGAGTGGCCAGATTATTATATACACCGAGTGGCCGGATTATTATATACACTGAGTGGCCGGATTATTATATACACTGAGTGGCCAGATTATTATATACACCGAGTGGTCGGATTATTATATACACCGAGTGGCCGGATTATTATATACACCGAGTGGCCGGATTATTATGACCACCTGACGTTTGTAGGCTAATTAGCTATAATTTGGCGCTGAAGTTGCTAGAGGGCCAGACCATTATAAATAGGGAAGCGGGTTGGTTACCACGACAGTAGAAGTGATTGGGAAGATTCGGGGAAACAACGCGATGTAACAGCCTTTGAACGCGGGATGATTGTTGGCGCTCGGAGCCATGGAGCGAGTATCAGCAAAACAGCAGAATGCGTTACATGTTCAGGAGCAGCTCATTGTTAAAGTGTTTAAAGACCGGACTGTCAGCCGAAAATCTGGGTCTGAACGTGCGAATTGTGGCCGTCAGCGACTAGTCAATGTTAGGGCAGAACGGGGGAGGGGCAAGACTGGTACAAGACAACAGAAGGGCAACAGTGCCGTGTCAGATTCCTCACATCACCTTTCATCATCTCGTGGAGTCACCAGGCGGCCCAACGAAGTACTGATGGGGGGGTCATAATAATCTGGCCACTCAGTGTATATAATAATCCGGCCACTCAGTGTATATTGTATATGGAGATACATTTTATAAA